CGCGTCTCATCGGGGATATCCAGAGTAATAAGATTGATCCACCTAGGGGTGATACTATACTTCTATAACCGTACTTTATAACATCCCATTGTGACTCACCTTATATGGGTATTTTAACCCCTTACAATTCATGAAATCCTCTTCAAGTCATTACTCAATTGAAGTCCCAAACATCATCCTTTATCTATCACAATTATGCCCTTATTCCACTACCATGGCAACATTCCATCTCTTCTAAATGCTACTAGTCTTAGACTCCTTTGAGTTCATTCTGGCTATATTGATCCTTTTATAACTTAGAGAATCCATCAACTCTATTATTTTTATGAGCTTAATCCCAAGAACTTATCCATTCTTGTCACATTTTCACCCACCTTTTCTTATGCTTACTCCTGTCTTCCTAAAACCTTGTCGCTCTACTATACTTTTACTTGCGACCTACACATATCTATTTATACTTGTTCACAACCTTCCTTCAACTTGCTTGCACCATAGATTTCCTTATGTTATTCTGGAGCATCAAGCGAGACATCACATAGTCTCTAACTCTTCTTTTACTCTCTAATTAGACCTTTCGGTACTTAGAAACCATAGGCTAGAAGGTATGCCACTGACGACACTACTATCATTCCTGGATATTGTATCCCCACGCTTCTAGCCTTTTATCCGCAATTTGGACTATTCACAACCTTCTGCATTTGAGTATATTGTTCATTGTTCACCTTTAACTTTCTTACCTTAAAATCTTGCATCGTATCTTTTATCTCTTTGATGACCTCCCTTCTACATATGCTTTGAAGGTTAGTTCAGAGAGGTAATATTGGTTATCGTGAGCCTGAAACAATGACTCGCTGGATGATCTTTGCAGCGTGGCTGGTGGGGGTGCCACGAAAATAAGAACATTTGGTGGAAGAGGGTTCTGATTGGGTTGTGAAACTTGGGGATCATAGGCATTTCTTCCCTGACAGTATTGGTAACTGGGGAAGCTTGTCGAAGGGCCCGGGAGAAGGTATTCCGGCGTGTGTCCTGGTGGGAGAGTGAGAGTAACGGGAGGGCCAGACGCTTTTTGTACCCTAGCTAAGGCCAACTGCATTTCTTTCATCTCCTGTCTCATCTTATCCATTTCATCTTTCAGCATTTGATTCTTCGTCCTTTCATCCTCGACACTTTGGTCTGAACTAGTCATGCTTTTTAGTATGGGCCCTTTGGATCTTGTTTGGTAATGGTAATCTGCCAGAAAGTTCTAACAAACTAACTGGTTCGAAATCTCTGGATAAATAACAAACTTGCTAGCGTTAGAGTTTTAACACATATTGCAATTTCACGTTGGGGGATGCAATGTCCCTAGGCAGTTAACCATTTCTAACATGTCTTTTCTTCGACCGCATGTGTCATTCCGGCTTACTTTGTTTGTGCTTCGTTTAAGTGTTTCTGAAACTTTCTTTATCTATCTTTTTATTTCTTTCTTTTCCTTTCTTTTATTCACTTTGCCTTTTCTCTTTTTTTCTTTTTAGGGGTGGTCGAAAGCATAACAATATTAAGTATGACTCAAAAAAAGTATGGTTGCTACCAAAATTTAAGACATTGGTAATTCCAACATGTTCTCAACAGCATCTAAAACTTACTGTATATACTTTGGCTTCTTTGATCGGGAAATGCACGCACTTCTTTTGTTGTTATTGCTTCATATCCCTTTCTCCCTCTTCACTTAATTGTCTTTTTCTTCTTAACTAGTATTAGTACCCGTACGAATGCGCGGACACTAATCATATCAAATATTTAAGTTATATGGATTGTATGTAAATAATTTTAAAATTTACACTTTCTCAGTAAATACATATAATCATTGAATATTAACAATATGAAAAAAATTAACCATTTCTTTTCTTTTTCTTTTTTGATATCATTCTTGCCGGTGTCATTGGATCCTAAAAATAGTCAGGAAGCAAAATAATAACTTATATTTATGGCAAAACAATCAAATGTTGAGACAATGACTCTTTGGATAAGACTTAACTCTTTTACTACTACAACAAAAATTTATCGATATCTCTAGCCCCAGAATTTGAATTTTTAATACCCTATATATACAAAAAATTTGTTCTTTCAATCATCAAATGTTAAATTAGTTGATTACTATTATAAAACAATGCATATATTGTCTTAAAATTGTCAAGTAGTTTATTTTTCGACACCATGTATTTGAGTTGGAAAAACAATATTTGAAATCAATGAGATTAACTTTCAAAATTTTTATTCTCTACAAAGATGAAACATAAGAAGAAATTTGTTGTCATCTTTTATTTCTCGTTTTTAGATCTTTCTAACATTTTTTTTCAATATTTATTTTCTTTTATCTTATTTTTTATGTCATTATTTCTTTTGTTACAAAAAATTAATTTATTTCACTATAAAAGAATGAGTCTTAATAAAAATTGTCTACATATGAACTTTAATTATATTTTTAGTCTTTGGTTGAAATTATTTCATATTTTTCTTTTGGCTTTATCTAATCAGCCTAAATAGGTGCTCACCCGACCACTTAAATTTAAAAACTGAATAATAATTTATATATATAATCCATATATAATATGTGTATAATCATGTGTTATCGATATATCATATATTTATATTAGCTATAAAAAGCAAACAATAAATATGGCCGGATATTATGTAAATATTCCATAAGATTTTGGGTTTTTAAGTTTATCCATGATATAATTTCTATTATAATTATTTTAAAACTCTCTACTAATGTTAAAAAATATCTTATCTTTTTATTATCTTTGAATTAAAAAAAGTAAAGTTTTTTTTCGAAATAATTTGTTTACATTTTAAAAAAAATATTTCACGTCATACCAATTTTTTATATATATATATTCTTTGTTACACTTAAAAGTCGCTATAGAAACTATCAATTAGAAACCAATTTCTCTCTTGTTGAGTTTGAAAAAAAAAAACCTTTCACATAATCTAATGATTCAAAACTAATATTTTTCAACGAAAAAAATATTATACCCTTGCAATATTGGCCTGACTATAGCTACAACAACAACAACAACAACAACCCAGTATAATCCCACTTAGTGGGGTCTAGGGAGGGTAGTGTATACGCAGACCTTACCCCTACCCTAGGGTAGAGAGACTGTTTCCAAATAGACCCCCGACATCCTTCCCTCCAAGAACTTCCCACCTTGCTCTTGGGGAGACTCGAACTCACAACCTCTCGGTTGGAAGTGGGGGTTGTTTACCATCAGAGCAACCCCAGCTTATACCCTTCAATTCCTTGAATGTGCTAAACTGAAATTAATGATAGCAATTGTATAGCTAAAGTTTTGTTATTTGTTTGATGTCCATTTATGCAAATTGACTCTTGAAACAAATATTCTTCAAGAAGAAAAAAGAAACAACTTTTTTTTTTAATATTGACTGATTTTGTGATGTTTCTTTCTCTAGCATGTATATTTACTTTATTATATATGTAAATAAATTTTTATTTGGTTTTATAATCTCTTTTTTGTTATTTACATAAACATAGATGTGTACCCTATATATTATATTTATTTTAAAAGAATTTCATTTTATTCAAATCTAGCTACAGTGTTTTAAAGAACTATACTTATAGGATTTTAAATGCGAAATAGTTTTATAGTTATATGGAGTAGTTTTTTTTGTTGCTAGAGGCGAAATAGTATTTAAATAATTAGAAAAATAACAAAAGTTCCTAACATGATTTCATATGATAACATGACAAAAAAGATAAATTTTATTTTTAATTTAAATTGAATTTTAGAACTTTATCTATAAATTCAAAATTATCGTTTAATTCAAATTATATATATATATATANTAAATTCAAAATTATCTTTTAATTCAAATTCCGTATATATATATATTATTTGTATTTAACTAAAATAGTCAAATATAGAATAAAATTACCATATACTATTGATATTTATTAGCTTGCCACTTGGCTTAACCATAATGTTAATTATATATGATAACTTTCTTCCTTTAATATATATATATATAGTACTCATCCATTTTCTAAAATTCCTTGAAATATAAAGATACCAATCTTTTTGAAAATCGAACTCGATAATATTAAATCATTTTCTTGTACCACGACTAGAAATTCAGCCAAAATCATCCGCGCCAACCGACCTTTACGAAATATTTTATTTTCAATTTTTTTTACGAAACTGATCGGCTTCGATCGATTTTTTTGGCACCAAAATGCAGGAAACTATTTTGCATTTCGCAAAATTTATTTTTTTAAGAAACCAACCGAAATCAATCGGGTTTTCATAGAAACTAAATTAAAATTAATCTTCAGAAAAACCGACCGAAAATGGTCAATTATTTAAAAAAAACCTATCGACTTTGGTAGATAATTTTATATTTTTAATAAAACCGAACGAAATCGACAAGTTATTTTCGCCCGAAAATGCAATTAAAGAGTACAAATAAATTAAAAGAAAGTCTTAACCCAAAATGTACCAATAATCTAGTGGTAGAATTGTATCCTGCCACAATACAGACCCTGGTCCGAGTCTTTGACGGTGCATTTTTTAATTGCATAATTAAAAATACAGATCGACTTTGATCGTTTTTTCGATAATTTTTTTCTTTTTGGGTCATTTGTGAAAAATAATTTACCAACCGAAATCGGTCGGAAATTGCGACCAACTTCGGTCGCTATTTTTACCGACCAACGTAATTTCGACTGATTAAAGTCGGTCGAAAATTGGTCGGTTTTTCCAAAATTTTGACCAATTTCTATCGACATTTTTAGACGGTTTTAGGCAGTTTTCTAATAATGTACTCAAATTGTTTGAATCGCATTAACATGAAAATTAATTACATAGATTTGTGAAAACTAATTAAAGAATGTACCAAAGAAGGCCATATGTCACTCTATTATGTAATTTTACTGAGGCCACTTTGCTTCATCAGGTTTGAAACTTTTACTATTACTAACTCTATATATATGAATAGTATTAACAAGAAGATTGATTACATATATCTTGTGAACTAACGAATGTACCATGAAAACCATATGGCACTCTTTTAGGTAATTTTACTAAGGCCACTTGCTTCATATTTGAAGCATTAACTATAACTAATTCTGATTTTTCTTTCATCTCATCTCTAACATAACTCATAAGATACCCTTCATCTTCTTTACCTTCTTTCGTGCTCGGCACGAAATAGGGTTCGCCTCCAAATTTTTCATCTCCATATAAAACTTTTGTAACATTTCCCGTGACCAAATCGACTTTTGCTAGGCCACTACATTTTGGCCATGGATCAGCTATTGCCATGAATGCATACCGAGTTTTTCGACCAAGTTTATTCTTGTTGACTTGCCCCGCTTCTAGGTTCATACCCGATACTATAACCCGTCGGGTCGACTTGCCCGTTTTCAAGTTTAATCGGATCTCGGATAGTTCACTTTTTAATGATTCATCACTTCCTGAAAAAATGGAGTCCGGTGGACTCATGCATGACCCTATAATCACTAGGGTTTCATCGTCGTCTTCGTTTATCTCCTCCCATGCATTCCATAAATGCATGCAAAAGCAATTTGGAACTTCAATCCATCGAATTCTTGATTCGTCGTGGTCGTCTTTCGACAACACGCCGAACCTAGAAACTTTTTCCGGGTCATGGATTACGGGCGACCCGCCCCGTAACATCTCGGATAACTTGAATACCACCTGATAATCCGGAATGATCACGTGATTTTCCGTGATGGCAAAGTCATGAATCATGGTTGGATTTTGGAGGGAAATAGAAATGTCACGTGACTTATTACCGCACGTGTCAAATTTGAAGAATTTAAGGTAAGGTTTTTTCAATACATTGTAACTCAAAGTATAAAGTTCCCCTGTGATGGGGTCTACCTTAGGATGTGCAATCAATGGATCATCAATTTGTCCGTCAAAATTGTAACGTCCGTTAGTTTCAAGATCACCGTCATCTGTAATACGGACGCTATACGGAAGATCATCCTCCGACATAGCTAAAAGCCGGCCGTTAAAATAAACCAAACCGGCGTTTGCCACGCCGGTTCCTTTGGTAGCATCTACCAACCCGAACCTAGTTCGGGCAAAGAACAGTAAAAGCCGAGCCAACCCCAAATGGCCATGCAACTCGCCTATCGGTTTAGGAAAAACCGGTCGGCCCAATGCAGCTTCTTGAACCAACCGGCTTGTTTGAATGAACCGGCATGAGTAGCTAGCTTTATTATTAACTGAATCCAATTTAACGGCATGAATCATTCCGTCACCGTCAAATAAATGATGACCGTTAATCGGTTCAAATAATGGGTTAGCACCATTTCTAACGTAAACCCCCGTTAAAGTAGATGGAATTTGACCAATTACCTCAAGCCCATGCTGAACCGGGCATTCTTGAACCGGTGCAAAATTCCCTTCTAGCTGAATTTCCGGGTCAACTGTCCGGTTCAGCTTATGTTTCTTTTCCAGCTCTGTTACCACAGATTTTTCTAACATGTCCAAGGCTAAAGATGCAAGTTTCTGAAGAGGGTTCAATTTTGGAGGTTCAAATTTTAATGGAAATATTTTAGGTTCAGCCAAAGGTGGCGGTGACGGTGGCGGTGACGATGACGGTGGCAGCAGCGGTGGTAGAAACGGTGGAGTATGTCTTCTAGGAAGTGTTATAGTATTTTTCTTAGAAGGATTAATGAGAATTTTACAAGAAAAAGAAGGAGAATTGTGGGGTTTGTGAAGAGAAGGGTTTGGTAAGATTGTATGCATGGCTAAAGATTGAGAAAGTAATAATAAGAAAAAGAGACAAAAGAAGAAAGAGTGAATTACTGAATTAAGAATGCTGTGTGTATATATATATATATATAGAAAAAGAATGATGTATAGTGGGGGCAAAAGTGAGAAAAGTGGGGGCCAATAGAGGAAGTCCAGCTTGGGTTAAGAAACATAAGACACGTGTAACATTTCATTTGAGATCTAGAAGGAATTAAAAATAAACGACAAAGAGCCAAGTATATTCTTGTACTATAAAAAAGTTTAATAACATCATTCGTTATATTTTAGGTCCAAATATATTTTTGATGTAATACTATTGGTTTAAATATGCTCTTCTTCTGTTAAGTTTGTCCAAGGTGGACATCCAATCCTACGTGGTACCGATATTTGATTAGGTAGATGCTTATATGACATGCCACCTCAGCACTCCTAATCCATACATAAAAGACTAAAATTTGAAATACAATATTTTTCATGATAGCGGTAATTGTGACAATAGTGGGGAATAAAATTTTAGTGGTGGAAAAAAAAAAATAGAAGGGATGTGTAAAATGGGTTAGGGGCGCTGAGGCGGTAAGCTATGTGGCATCCACCTCATCAAATATCAGTGCCACGTAGCCACTCTGGACAAACTTAACGGAAAAAGGATACATTTAAACTTAAGTGCATCGTATATTTGGACTTAAAGTATAACGAAGAGTACATTTAAACGTTTTCTAGTAGTGCATACATATAGAAAAAGAGTGATATGGATATAGTTAGAGGCAGATCCAAAATTCAAATTTTATAGGTTTAGATTTACATTTTTACGACATCTTATTTAATTTAATGAATTCAAAATTTATTATTTATACATATTTAATGAATTTCGAAAACTTTAGGTATAGAGTGGGGCCAAAAGTGAGAAAAAGTGGGGGCCAATGGAGGAAGTCCAGCTTAGGTAAAGAAGAAGAAGACACGTGTAATATCTCATTTGGGATAAAAAATAAACTAATGAGCTTAGAGAAGCCGAAAAAAATAAATTTAAGTTATATACACAATCACTCGAATATTAAGTCGCATTTGTTTGTTATAGCTTGTAATTTATCTTATTTTAAAGATATTTCATACCTTAAGGAGAATTACCTGTAGATATCCTTTAATGGTAAAGGCGAATGCAATGTATTGACACCGAATTTAACTGGATTCGGTGCTTTTGATGTGGAGTATAATTTTATGTATAAGAATTTATTAATATTGTAATATATAACAATTACCCATAACTTTTAAAAGATAATGGATTCACAGCTAAATTTTTTAAATGTTGAACCCATAAAATTTAAATTCTAGACCCGTCTCTATTTGATGGTATTGATGAGTAAAAAAGTCTATTACACTTAGAGGCGGATATACTAATATAGTTACGGATTCAGTTGAATCCATAACTTTTGAAACGAAGTATAAATTTAAGTGTAAAACCTTATTAAAAATTGTAATAAATTATTTTAAAAATATAATAATTTTTAATACTAAAAATCTTAAAGGTTGAATCGCGAGTAACGAAAAATTAAAGCACATCGAGCTGCCTATTTTCAAGCAATGATTCTGATCGATTCTAAAATCAACTTTTTGTTGTTTAATCATCTATCTTTAAATCCTACTGACCTGACTAATTAATTTGAATTATCCGGAATAAATCTATTTGGAATAAAAACGTTTCTTATCTACAATTCTATATTCCAAAAAAAGCTCTAATCACAAACCTTTGAGTAATCAAGTTCAACATATGACGTACATCATGTTCAATCCGTTGGTGGACAAGGAAAGGACTAAAAGACAACAACATGTGATTAATTAAATTTATTATGTTGACCCAGCATTAGTAAAATGGAAGAGTAGAAGAAAATAAAATAAAAGATTTCAAATCGAGGTGCAATTTAAGTCCAAAATCATTCAACCCGCTCGATTCGTCCAAAGTTCGGTTGCTCATTGTTTGTCCATTTGAACTCAGCTCATTTTAATGTTAAAATAGCACGGTATAGCCAGTTTTTGGACTGGTCATTCAAAAATATCCACCGTTTACGAAGTCAATAAGAAATAGCTATTATTTTGCTGCAACATAAACCGGTCCCGCATAATATATGGGAGTTCGCGGTGTATCTATGTACGAACTCCAGCATATTATGCTGGACCGGTATACTTTGCTGACTCCTGTATAATATACGGGAGACTGAAGCACCGGTGCTCCAAACTCCAGTATATTATACTGAACATTTATACTTGCTGAAATTCCAGTATATTATGCTAGAGTTCAAGCATACTTATGTTGGAACTCCAGTATAATATACGGGCGTATTTTTTGGGTTTTGAACAGTGTTTTCGCTCAGATTTATCTTTACATGAAAAATGGCTAAATTTTGATTACTTTTAAAACTGGACTATTTTTAAATGACCAGTTGTAAATTTGGCTATTTTTAAATTTCTACCCATTTTAATCTAGTTCATCTCAGCACATCTAAAGTTGAGCTGATATTTAAATTAAAACTAAGTCATAGGCAACATGGTTAATATATCTTTAAAATAATTCTTTTTTTTTTGTTTATTATGTTATATATGATTATAACAAGAAAAAAAGTCTTATTTGGTAATTAAATAAATCAAAAGAAAACAACACACATTAATTAAAGTTTGGTAATAGTTAGACGAGTTGAAATATGGCCTATTTTTAGTTCATCTTGACTCAGCCTATCTAAGCCAAGTAACTTTTCGACAGGTCATTAATACATCCATTTATTGACTTAGCCCATTTTGGCCCGCCCATTGATACTTTCTCCGGTCCAAATAAGTGAGTTTTTAGCTGTTTTCAAACAGATTAAGAAATCCACCTTTTAACATTAATTAGCAGTAAAATTGATCATATTAACCTTTACTATCTTTTTATATAAACACTCCTAACACATACTCCAATACTATTTACTTCAAAGGCAATATAAGAAAAAATAATTAATTCATTCTTAAAATCTAAAAAAATTATTTATTTTGGACCATAAAAAATTAAAAAATTATGCACAAATATTAAATACTAAGGAGAGAAAATGGATAGGATTCTTTTGCTTATTTGGTCAACACAAAGTGACGAAATTGGGTGTAATTTGGCACGTGAATTATCATATGTGTCAACGTGGGCTTTAGCCACTCATTTGGTTGTAATCCTTAAAACCCACCTCCCATTCAAATGCAGTGTACAAAATTTCCAAAGACAAAATTCTTGACCTCTCATCTCGGAAATCTGAAGCTCATTGATTTCATAATAATCGAATATATTATTACAAAATTTCAACTCCTGTTATAAACGAATTTCCAAAAAGAATCGGATCATAAAAATATATTGTATGTTATTTTATCCAGTATTTTTACAAAAAATTATTTTTACGGCTTAAATTTAAAATTTACTGATCACATAACAATAACTTTATGAGTTACGCTAAAATTCTCCTTTCACTAATCGAATATATTCTATTTATAATATGGTACTGTAGGAATTATTTTTTGAATATTTTTCTCACTTTTGTTTGTATTCTCTTCTCAAAATTATTTCTAACTTTTAACTTCATACTTGCTCAAAAGACATCGAAATAGTGACACCCATAAAGGAGGGCGAGTTGACAAGATCAGATCAAAGAGGACTAATAAACTTTTAAACAAGGGGCACATAAAACCTTAGACAAATTTCATACCAAAATAGGAGGGAGTGGATGAAGAATTTATAACACGTAATGTGACACATTTTTAGGCTCGATGATAGTATATCCCAAAGGATAAATCTCTAAAATTTGTTTGGCTAAAACAGACAATACTTGCCATTAAGGGTGTACATGGACCGGGTTGGTTTGGTTTTGATTTGTTTGACCAAAACAGACAATACTTGTCATTAGGGGTGTACATGAACCGAGTTGGTTCTGTTTTTATCAAAATCGAACCAAACTAACTATATCGGTTTGGTTTTGTCGAATTTTTTGGGTTTTTCGGATTTTTTTACTTTAATATTATTTCAATCTTTATTTGTTAAATTATTGATAAGTAAATATATGTTTAATAAAAATATAAAAGGTTGACAAACATATTATCTATTAAAATATTCTTATGAGAGAATTTTCTTAGTAACACATAATAGTTATTTTTTTAGTCGTCTGACAATAATGTTTTGTTGATGTACACTTTCAAGGTTAACCGAATTTAGTAATTAAACATAGAAATCAATATGATACCTAAATAATAATAATCACTTTACATTCGAAAAAGATATAACAATTTAATAGATCTTAACATATGATATGAATATGGAAGAACAAAGAGATTAACGCATTTCAGTAACACTGATGAGAAAGTGATCATATAACCCATTATTTAAGGTTAATAAATATGGAGCGCTTCATATACTATTAAATATTATATTCCGCAAGATAATCCCAAATATTTCTAGATATTTTTTAAAGAAAATTCTATATAAAATCTTAAAAGTACATATAAAAATTATATATTGATATGTCGGTTTGGTTCGGGCTTTTTACTCAATGCCAAACCAAATCAAATCAAACCTAGTCGGGTTTTTTAATCGGTTTGGTTTGACTTTTCGGTTTGATGCAATTTTCCGGTTCGGTTTGTACACCCCTACTTGCCATCGAGGGCAGATGGAGTTGTTGTGTCGTCGAATTTGTCTGAACACAGTACTTTTGATATATGTATAATATAAATTTATTTATAAAAACACATTAAATCATGTATTTGCCTCTATAAGACCGTGACATAAATATTATTACTATCGATCCCTAATCGAACACAAAAAAGAAGAGTGGATTTTCCTAAGTATTAGTTGGAGACGTTTTCTTTAAACTCAAAAGTAATTTCACTTGAATTCTTTCTTTGAGTAAATCCTATTAACTAAACTCTTCCGAAATTATGTAAGTAAAGAGAAAGAGATTCGCTTAATTCTCATAAGTTTTAATCAAAACACTATGTGATGTAATCACAAGATTA